TAAACACATTTCATTACACCAAATACACAAAATAATGTTCTTTTTAGCAGCATCATATGACCCCTTTAAATTGTGTCAACGATAAGTTTTCATGACCAGGTAGCACAACAATGTCACCTGAGCGTGTAACCCCGATTGACAGGATAGTCCAAAATCTCTATATCGCCTACCCCTAACTGGAGTACTTCATTTTGTTGTCCATATGGGTATTTGATGAGCTGTTATTAGAAGACTGATGATCGAAGTGCATATTTTTTCATTATATATATATTTTTTATATTATTTATTTATCATATATTTTTCTATATTATTTAAAAAAAAAAAAAAAACTTTCAGATATTTTTTTTTTATTGTTGTTGTTGTGAATGTCCCTCTTGGGGACACAAGATTTTCAATTTTCAGAGAGTTCAATTAAATGTTCATGTTATCTTTTTGCTGCATTTGTGAGTTAAAAATGTAACTGGTTGTGTCGTGGCCTAATGGTTAGAGAGTCAGACTTGGACTTTTCATTCCCATAGAATAAAAAAAAAATTTATATGGAAATCAATAGGGACCAGCAACTGTTCAGTCACACTCATTCTTCAAAATATATTCTTATGTGTTCAGCAGAAGAAAGAAATTCATACAGGTTTGGAACAACTTGAGGGTGAGTAAATGAAGACCAAATTATAATTTTGTTGTATCCCTTTAATTTTAACAGATATAACAATTTAAAAAAAAAAAGTCTTAATATAGTTTCAGAAAAAGACCGCAGTTTTATGACATCACTAAAAGCATATGGCTACATAATATGCATGTGTCATGCATCACATGACGTGAGCAAAGACCAGCTGACTAAAGGGTTGGGGCCATCTAGAGACTCAAGGCCTGCAGATTTACATTTACATTTAGTCATTTTGCAGATGCTTTTATCCAAAGCGACTTACAATTGGGGAATACATAAAGCGATTCATCTTAAAGAGGCAAACAGTCACAGGAAAGTCTCACAACACCAAGTTTCAGGCATTGTTTAAATCAGTACAAGCTAGAAAGGGCAGGAATAAATAAAGAGAAAGACAAAGTTTTTTTTAATTTATTTAGGATGGTCCCTGATGCAGATGGTCCCTGGGGGCCCCTGAGAGTCCAGGCTGACCACCTTCCTGTGATGTAAAAGGTCACAATTCATCTCAGTCTATGTCACACTTTAAAAGTCTGTACGGAAGTATTACAGTATTGCTAGAAATAGATGTACCACATGCAAAGTCTGACACACCTATATGATAATTCAAAGTACCAAAGTCCTTCAAAAGCCCTACTCCTTTACAACACCGATACCCTCCCAATGCAGACTGAAAAGATTGTGTCGAAATGCTGACAACAACTTCTGTGTAAAATACATTCTGAAATGTACTGTAAACAAGGTTGTGGAAATTTCAGTTCACATCCTATCACAACACACCTCAAGATGGGCGGACAAGGAACTTGTTTTTCAGCATTGCTGCCTTACATTACATGATTCAGCATATATCTGATCACTCTTACACCTGCCACAAAGAAACAAACTGAATATAATCCCTAATGAATGACAACATCTCAACTACAGATCCCAAAACGGCAGTAAATCTAGCACACGAAAGTCTCTGTGATGTACTCGCGATGCAGTGAAGTTTAAGCCAACACATCTCAATACAAAGCAACCAGTTAGCCAATCCTGCTAACTTAGATTTATTGATAAACTATTGAATCACAACAGCGTGTGTGGAGAGCTATTAAACTGGGAATCTAGCTGTACATACGTACTTATAAATATTCTATAAACTAACGTTAGGCTGTTAAAATAGCAAATACATGATCATAACAGCAGTTGCTAGCTAGCTTAGCAAAGTAACTGAAACTAACTTCCACAACAGACTGGTTTAAATACAACATTTCTCACCACTGCATGTACAAATACTGAGTAATTAAAACAATTGAAGTCGAATTATACTGGGATAATCTAAAAAAAAAAAGACACGTTTAATAACCAAGTGAGAGTGGAGGGGCTGCTATGTGACAAGCTAACAAAACAAAGCGGTAATTTTACAGACTTACAGTAATAAGCGACCACCGGTTCTCTTTTGTCGTGTTCCTGCGCTGTTCTTAAATGGTGCTGGATTGGTTTCAGCTGCGGTGGGAGCGCCATCCTGGAGAAAAGACTCTGTTACAAACTTCTACGGTTAGCAAGAGTCAAAAAATTGCTAGTAACAAAGATGACAGACGCGAGTCGCGAATGAGCCGCTTCCGCGTCTTCAAGTGAACGCGCAGCCACACCTTTACTGACCTCCACAGGCGAGGAGTAAGAAATGACCCACATGAATCAGTGGTGACTTTTATTCTGCATAAAATACATATTGGCTTATATACAGAGCAATGTTTAAAAGTTTTGTCTATTTAGTAATCATGTATTTTAAGGTGTAATTTGTAATTTGTCATACTATAATAATTGTTTTAATTAATATTTTAATTAATATTTACATCAATTAAGTCATAACTGTTTTGCTGTTTTTATTCTGTTATATATTTCTGCAATGTATTTGCATTAAAGAGTTATAATAATCAACAGTTTTCTTTTTTATATGTTGTACAATGCAACTTGTACAAAGCAGCCCTGTATTAATGCATTAATGTTACTGTCATAAAAGGGCCCTTCATAAAGTGTTAATTCCTGTTATCCAACAGATTCCTTTTTTAATTGCATTCCCCTTATAATATGTGTAAATATTACTGATATGGAAAGGTGTAAACAAAAAAAGAATGATGCGACTATTTTAACTATTTTTACTTGATTGAAACTTCAAAAACATTAGGAAATCATTGTATCTGACAGAAGGCCAAGGATTCACAAGCAGATCTGTTTATTCTGACCTAGACTGATAATACATTATGGCAGTCATAAATTATATATATATATGTATATATTAAGATTTTCATGCATAATTTTCATCATAAATCCCACAGACAAAAACCAATATAAATGATCAACTCTCTACACATAGTACAAAAGCTATTACTCAAACAGCTGTGGTGTTGAAACAGTGGGAAGGCAACTGTGGGAAGATGTGCAGGCCAGACATGCTGTCAGATCTCCTCGGATGTTTCATTTATGCATAAATAGTATTCTTATAATAAATAGTTACCCGCTGACACAAAATAAGAGATTACAGTATGCCATTTTGTACCTGAGATGAAACACTTAGCTGAGAATAATAACAAAAGTTGGATGGATGCCTGATAAAAATGTACAGATACAGATACTACAACCACACAAGATCATTCTCAAATGGACATAAAACTAGATGGAAATCAACAGCTGATAAATGTACTATCAATGTGCATGATTGTAACTAGATACCATGGACCGCTCAATAATGTTTTTAGAAACTGATGCACTGTTGCATGTAATTATTCTTCCTTAAGAAGAATCAATCTTTGTTGAAATTTAAATCAAATAATATTTGTCAAAATAGTACTTGCATTTTGTGTAATATTTCAATATAAGTATAAATCTAAATCTGAAAATAATATTGCAGAGATAATAATGATCAACCAAATATTTATGTGGGTTTAGGTTAGCTCATACAAGTCAATAAAATAATTTCTCCTGCTAGAGAGGTGCTTTTTTAGGCTTAAAAAATCTAAAAAGCTAAAAAGATTAATGAGTCCCTTGCCATTAATTAGGCTTGTTTTGTTTTGATTATTCCAGAAAAGTAATAATAAGCTGTCTTGTTTTAAAAAAGCATGTATTTCTGTGTCTACCACCAGAAAATGCAGAGGTATGTAGGTTTATGTCCTGTCTGTGATTCAGAGACCCACAGAAAACATAAAACAAACACTGCTAAAGTATCACTCAAAACACTTTCTAAATTCTCAAGTCACTGGCTGGTTTAAATAACCAAGTCTTCGGAACAGAATCTCAAAAATCTCAGCGATACAGAGGAGTATGGTGATGATGGTGAAGGTGTACATTGCACTGAGGAAGATAGTCTTCTCAAAGTGTTCAGGGACCATACACTTTGAGATGTTGAAGATCTTTGCAAGGGCACTGACATCGCACATATAAATAGGATCAACCAGGAACCCAAAAAGGTGGCTCTGAAGCCAAAATACTAAAACTTCCAGAATTATTCTCAACAGGACAGAGATGATGTAGAAGACTGTCGACATTGGCCGCTGAAGGATCTCATCCTGGTCTATATTTTTACAGGCAGCATAAAGATGAAACACAGCTCCAGGCACCAAGACAGTGACTAGCTGCAACGCCCAGAATACCTACAACGACAACAACAAAAAAACAGCTTTTTTTTTCTTTTTCGTTTTCTGTCTTTAGGTTTGTTTTTGTTTTTTCACTTTTGTCATTTTGCCCAGTAGTATGGTTTTTATTCAAGTTTCCATCAAAGAATTACAAGAGATTATAGGCCATAACACATCTTCGCAATCAGCTTGTCATACTCACATAGTAGAAAACTTGAACAAATGTTGTAGATGAGTTTATTTCTTCATTTGAATAAATTTGGAGAAATGTAATATTGCATCACTTGCTCTCCAACGAATCCTATACAGTGAATGGGTGCTGTCAGAATGATAATTCAAACATCTGATAAAATCATCACAATAATCCATAAGTAATCCACACGACTCCAGTCCATTAATTTTTTGTCTTGTGAATTGAAAATCTGAGTGTTTGTAATACTTGTGTGGTTTATTTGTGGATTATTGTGATCTTTTTATCAGCTGTTTTGAGTCTCATTCTGATGGCACCCATTCACTGCAGAGGATCCAATGGTGAGACAGTGATGTAATGCTGAATTTCTCCAAATCAGGTTAAACGACCAAGAAACAAACTCATCTACATCTTGGAAGGCCTGAGGGTAAGTCAGTTTTCAGCAAATTTTCAATCAACTATTCCTTTAATTTATCTCAGTGGAAGTGACAGATAAGTAAGCTTCAAATCTTAAAGTTACTAGGACAGCTTTTTTTTAACATCTATGTTTTGATTATAGGATACCTGAAATAGTTTTTTAAGATACAGTAGGTTGCCAGACACCTCAACTCCAAATCTTACATGTTTAGTTTCATGTTTAGATTAGTAAAATGAATTAATGAATTAATAAAAAGCTGTTAGCTTTTTAGAATTTATCTTTTGTTTTTTCTTCCTAATTCTTCCTACAGCCATAGTCACTTTTGCCTGTCATTTCATGCATATTTTGATACCACAATAGCAGGTTATTAAATCGAAATATTTTCATTCACTTTTACCTGAGGTGTTATTGGCCTGAACTGGTTGTAACAATAAAGGTTTATTTCCCTTTTGTCTGGATCACAGCTGAAGTGGAGGGCCTCATTGCCATAGACGGCGAATCCAAGGACTCCAAGGAAAAATGTACGCACAGAGCCAAAAAACAACGTGTGGAACTGGCCTATCACTGTTGGAGGCCTGAGCTGAAATATGCAATGAAAAGGTTATAACACACAAATGCAAGACCAGACATGCATCCACTAAAATCATGTTTATATTAAATTTTTCTAATTTTGCATATAAAGATAAAACTTTACATTACATACTTACACATCCTTCATAAAAGTTTTTGATGTAGTTTAATGACATATTTTGACTTCACAACTCTGCATCATTAACCTTTCTGTCTTTAGGTTTGTTTTTGTTTTTTCACTTTTGTCATTTTGCCCAGTAGTATGGTTTTTATTCAAGTTTCCATCAAAGAATTACAAGAGATTATAGGCCATAACACATCTTCGCAATCAGCTTGTCATACTCACATAGTAGAAAACTTGAACAAATGTTGTAGATGAGTTTATTTCTTCATTTGAATAAATTTGGAGAAATGTAATATTGCATCACTTGCTCTCCAACGAATCCTATACAGTGAATGGGTGCTGTCAGAATGATAATTCAAACATCTGATAAAATCATCACAATAATCCATAAGTAATCCACACGACTCCAGTCCATTAATTTTTTGTCTTGTGAATTGAAAATCTGAGTGTTTGTAATACTTGTGTGGTTTATTTGTGGATTATTGTGATGTTTTTATCAGCTGTTTTGAGTCTCATTCTGATGGCACCCATTCACTGCAGAGGATCCAATGGTGAGACAGTGATGTAATGCTGAATTTCTCCAAATCAGGTTAAACGACCAAGAAACAAACTCATCTACATCTTGGAAGGCCTGAGGGTAAGTCAGTTTTCAGCAAATTTTCAATCAACTATTCCTTTAATTTATCTCAGTGGAAGTGACAGATAAGTAAGCTTCAAATCTTAAAGTTACTAGGACAGCTTTTTTTTAACATCTATGTTTTGATTATAGGATACCTGAAATAGTTTTTTAAGATACAGTAGGTTGCCAGACACCTCAACTCCAAATCTTACATGTTTAGTTTCATGTTTAGATTAGTAAAATGAATTAATTAATTAATAAAAAGCTGTTAGCTTTTTAGAATTTATCTTTTGTTTTTTCTTCCTAATTCTTCCTACAGCCATAGTCACTTTTGCCTGTCATTTCATGCATATTTTGATACCACAATAGCAGGTTATTAAATCGAAATATTTTCATTCACTTTTACCTGAGGTGTTATTGGCCTGAACTGGTTGTAACAATAAAGGTTTATTTCCCTTTTGTCTGGATCACAGCTGAAGTGGAGGGCCTCATTGCCATAGACGGCGAATCCAAGGACTCCAAGGAAAAATGTACGCACAGAGCCAAAAAACAACGTGTGGAACTGGCCTATCACTGTTGGAGGCCTGAGCTGAAATATGCAATGAAAAGGTTATAACACACAAATGCAAGACCAGACATGCATCCACTAAAATCATGTTTATATTAAATTTTTCTAATTTTGCATATAAAGATAAAACTTTACATTACATACTTACACATCCTTCATAAAAGTTTTTGATGTAGTTTAATGACATATTTTGACTTCACAACTCTGCATCATTAACCTGTCACCATCATTGCCAGTCTTCTAACCTCAGGCAGAGGCAGATGGCAATTGTGAACCTCCAAATGACCTTTCGCTTTAGAAACCCCTTGTCAATGCATTCTCTTTTTATCTGCAGAGCCTTCATCAATTTACTCACTCAGTGCAAAAAAAGACAAAAAAGAAAAATAACAAAGGCCACGGGACATGTGATCAGCCCATAGGCTAATCCCTACTCTGTCAGCGAAAAAACAACTCTTGTATCTCACAATAGAACAGAGCAACCATGACAATTGCAATGAAATGCAATTGTATCACTGGGTAGATCACATAATGGAAAA